GAGAGAGGTTCGTGGTGGTCCCTAAATGGCGAGCTTTTTGTGCGCTGCATTCAATAGAGATATTAAATCATTGAATGTATTATCTGGTAGATATCAATAAAATAAAAAAATTCGAAGTCTCGAGGAAGGCGATACTGCGGGGAAATCGCCTCCACCCCCCTCCACCACCCCCCCTCCTACTCAGTCGCCCTCCGTGTGGACCTGCCACTTGCTGCCCCAGGTCACCGTGTTGATGGCTCACTGCGCTATCCACTACGCCACCCGCTGACCCCAGCAGTGCGTCGTCGATTAATACATCGGCGAAGCTGCTGCTGCTGCTGCTGCATTGGCAATGGAACCAGCTGCAGCCCTGAACCGGTACCGGGCCCCAAACTTCACAAATCCCACACCGGTTATTATTATAATAATAATAATAACTAATATCGCTTTCACTGAGCAAATGCAGAGAGATCGGTCCAAACTTTTTGGACGCTCAAACGATTTGCCGCGATCTCCTTCCCCGAGCCCTCCCTGCGGCAACTCATCACTGTCTTTTTTTTTTAACCAATAAAATGATCTCTCTGGGCCAATTTGCTACAAGGCAATATTTGTCTTAAGAATTATAATGAAGATGATGATGGTGGCGGTGGTGATGACGATGATGATGAAAGAAATGGATTTAATTGATGCATCAATTTACTTAACGAGTCTTTGCTGTCCAGACATTTGGGTAAGCCACTCTGCACACATCTGTCCGTCTAAACTTTCACTCCGTTTAAATTGGTTCTTTGATTTCGCTCAAATTTGATCTCTATTTACAAACCCTCGCTGTGACAACACACATCTGCTCTTTCCAGCTGATAAACAGCACAAGCCTTTGTCCAAATAATCCAGAAGTCGCCCAGTCCCGTCAGATATCGGAAGTTAAGGTGGGTTTGAGCCTAGATTTTTCGTGGCTGGGAGCGATCACCCAGCATAACAGGCGCTCTCGGGTCCTTGAGGGGCTCTGTGGCTTGACGGCAAAGGGCAGTTCATCGTTGGACTGAAAATCTATGCTCCGCAGTCGACGCTTCCCACTTCAACGCACCGCCCTGACCGGCGCGATGAAGTCTGAATGACCCCCACGATCCGCACAGCGTAGGCAGGCCCCTCGTCCGGAAATTGATTGGCATGAACCAGGTGCACGAAGAGAGGTCATCCCTCGGGGTCAATTTGCCGACAAGGCAATAAGTTGGCTTACGCGGGATGATCGTGGCGGCGATGTTGATCATGACGATGATGAATTAAAATAATTGGACTTCACTTTCTTTCGCGAGCCTCAGAGCCGGATTCTCTCAGTCAAAATCTCACCACGTCTCCGGATCAAGGCAGCTTTCTCCCCCACCCCACCTAACCTCACTTCACCGAACAGCCCACGAGCCCCCAGGGACGAATAGGCTCCGGGGTTAATTGCGCGAGCTGTTTGTAATATCTGTCCCGTGATTGCACTGGTGCCTGATGACATTTTACGAGAATTTCTTGCAATCTGCGGTAAAACATCACCCCCAAGGAAACGCACTCACGCACACGAGCACACACACGGTCACGCACACGGTCACGCACACACAAGCACACACAAGCACACACGCTCACACATACGGGCATCCACACGCACGTACACATCACACGTATAGCCTTCACAAGAATGTTGGGGCAAGTTCTGTTCGCGAGCACCTATGAAGGCCGGCACGGCACACGAGAGGGTGGGTGACCGGCACTACGCCCGGCCGCCTTTGTCTCCCTAGTGGCGATGTTTACACATCGTGACCAGATACTCATCTGAGGCTGAGTCGACCTAGGGGAGGCCCATGACCGTTTCAGGTAATAATCCGCGCTGTTGATTGCCGCGAACGCGAATTGAACTCGGTTCGCCGGGTTCGTAGCACAACGCGCTGACCGCTGCGCCACCGCTCCGCACACTGCACCGCCCACACAGCACGCGCACACAGAATCACACGCAGAATCACAGAATCACACACAGAATCACACGCATAATCACACAGAATCACACAGTATCACACACAGAATCACACACAGAATCACACAGAATCACACAGTATCACACGCATAATCACACAGACTCACACAGTATCACACACAGAATCACACAGAATCACACACAAAATCACACAGAATCACACACAGTATCACACGCAGAATCACACGCAGAATCACACGCAGAATCACACGCATAATCACACAGTATCACACGCAGAATCGCACGCAGAATCACACGCATAATCGCATGCAGAATCACACGCATAATCGCATGCAGAATCACACACAGAATCACTCCGAATCACACAGAATCACAAACAGAATCAACGCAGAATCAGCGCGATTTCTTTGTTTCGGGAGTGGGTGGCGGCGGGCACGGGGTTGCTGCTCCGCTCATCCCTGTGGTGTCGTGACGCGGCATTCCCCCTCCTCCTCCTCCTCGTCCGCGGCCTGCGGACTGCGCGTCCAGGCGGAATGGTGGAGGAGCGTGCGGGCGAGTCACGGCGAATTCGGTTCGCGTGGACATTGATTCTTCACGGAGGTGGCGACGCGGGGACGACTCGACATCTGAGACGCGTTCGAGGCTGCTGTTGCTGCTGCTGCTGTTGCTGCTGCTGCTGCTGCTCTCTCTGTCTCTTTATTGGGTCGGGGCTGCGTCGACGAAGTCGTCTTGCTGTTGCTTGACGCGCGACTCGCGAGCACGAGGCGCTGGGTGTGCGAAGACGCGCCCTGAGACGCGTAACGCTGCCGCTTTTCCTAAGATGCCGACAACAAAAATTGCCATCTTTCATCCTCGCCGGGAGAGCGATAGCCCGGTTTGTGTGCGTGTCAGAACACCGATTTATTCCATTAATAAGCCACGGTTTCGAAAACTGCAAATGTTGACTTCCCTGGGCCATGTCCGGTCCAGCCGGGACTCCGCATTCGCCTTCTCCACTCCCGAGTTGATAACCACAGATAACTTACCTTCACAAGAGCAAGAATTGATAACAATACATTGCTACTTTTAACGCTGCTCACCGTCCCCCACCAACACATTCACCGGTGTGATGAGTTGAATATTTGTTTGACCCCGTGAAGTCGCCACATTTATGGGACCGCCACTTTTCCACCGTGGGTTCATACGGGACGGGACTAAGCAATCTCCTCCCTCCTCTGCCCGCTCGCTCTACTTCCTGACTTAAGTCCTTCCACCCTCATCTTCGCCTTCCCCACAGACAAGTAAAAAAATCCCCGCTCGCGATCCACATTCGAATTGGGCAGTGAACCCAATCTCCCCCCCCCCCCACCTGAACCCCCTCTCCTCTCAACTCAAGAGCACAGAGTTCTGGGTCTTACATCCGCAGAGTTTCTCTTACCCTACCGTCCCTGCGTAGCGATTCGTGCTCTGTACCGAGCTCTTATTGAAATAAAAAAAACATTTTAACTTCCAAATAAATACAAACACAAAGGAATCGCGTCGCCACGTCGGCCGATACCGCACGGGCCCGGCTCGACAGGGCCCGGATCGGAATATCCCCCAAACAAAGGCGGCATCATCTTCTTGGTTCTTTTGGTAAAGTCACGTAGAAGGGAAGTAATAAAATAATAAAAATAAAACATAATAAAACAATTCTCACGACGTTTCGGCCACAACGCAAGTAGCCGTCCTCAGGTGAAAACCAGATCTGTCGAGGCGACAGCGTCTGAAAGAACCAAGAAGATGAATCCCTGCAGTCACGAAAGCTTTAAATCGAAAGGCGGCATCGTCGTCGTCGTCGTCGGCTCAGTGGGACCCTGAGAGGCGACTTGGGGCGGCCACTTGAACGGCGCCTCCGCATCGGGGACCGCCTCCGCGACAAGCGGGCGGCTGTCACGAGGAATTTGCGATAACGTCCCGCACACGCGCGAGAGAGAGAGATAGAGGAGAGGAGGGTGGCGATATGGAAGAGAAAATCCAGTTACGTTGCGTTTAAAATGCCGAGTGGCTGTGGCGCGCGTGCGGTCTTAGTGGCTCGGCTCGAAGGGGAACCGCGGAGGGGAGATGCGCATTTAACTGTAGTCACTTTAAGATGTTTTCTTGTTCATGTTTTTGTTTTGTTGCGGTTGCAACCCGAGTCAGGAGCCGCATGGCTCACAGAGTTATACCTCTTCTTGGTTCTTTCGGTAAAGTCACGTAGAAGGGAAATAATAAAATAATACAAATTAAACATAATAAAATAATTCTCACGACGTTTCGGCCACAATGCAAGCAGCCGTCCTCAGGTGAAGACCAGGTTTGTCGGGGAGACAGCGTCTGAATGAAAGGGTTATACCTAATAAATGAAACTGAAACTCGAACGGGGGACGGCTTCCGCTGTGATGTGTCGCGTCGAGAACTGAACAAACGGCTGTATAATGCTCGTGGAATAATCTAATGTGCATTGTGATTGCAACAGGTCCCTCTCGCTAAATCTAAGTGCGTCTTCTTCACAATCCCTTTGTGATCCTTCTCAGTCTCTCCGCACTCTATTCTTCTCTCACTCTCTCGTTTGTTCGCTCGGCTTGTTCGCGTGTCCCTCCTCGCCAGCCCTGCCGCACGTACACAGACAAAGATCCCCCGTATAGCCTTTAATAGACTTGTGGGGCAAGTGCTGTTTGCGAGCAACTCAAGAAGGCCGGCACGGCTGACGAGGGGGTGGGTGGCCAGCGACACGCCCCAATATCTTCGCCTTCCCAAAGCTGATGTTGTATACACACTACACCAGGTACTCATTTGAGTTCGAGTCGACCTGGACAAGCCTAGGACCGGTTAGGTAATCGTCACCGGTGTTGGCTGCGAGTGGGAATCTAACTCCGGTCGCCGGGTTCGTAGCGCAGCGCCCTAACCGTCGCGCCACCGCTCCCTACACTCCCTACACACACACCGACGTGCAAACACTGACTCGCCACCCCTCTCTTCTGAACTCACCTGCTTCTCTCCCATTGCCCTCTCCTCTCTCCTCCTCCGCCGCTGCCGAGAGCAGCATGGGCCAGGACGGCGGGGGCAGCATGAACGGCTCCCTGGAGCACGGCGGTCCGGCGGGGCAGCCCGACCTGGACGCCATCAAGATGTTCGTGGGGCAGATCCCGCGCTCGTGGAGCGAGAAGGAGCTCAGGGATTTGTTCGAGCAGTTCGGCCCCGTCTACGAGATCAACATCGTGCGGGACCGCACGCAGAAGCCTCCGCAGAGCCGCGGTGAGTGGTCGTGCGGGCGGGATTTGGTGAATTATCGGGCGAACGTGCAGACGTTGGGCCGACGTTGGGGCGACGTTGGACTGACGTTGGGGCAACGCTGGGTCGACGTTGGGGGCAACGATGGACCGACGTTGGGGGCAACGCTGGGTCGACGTTGGGTCGACGTTGTGGCAACGTTGGGCCGACGTTGGGGGCAACGATGGACCGACGTTGGGGCAACGTTGGGTCGACGTTGGGTCGACGTACGCATTTTGACGGTGTATACTCACAATAACAAGCGGTAGCATGGACCTAAAAAAAACCGCATAAATAATAAGCAGAGTAAATGTAACGACATCACGGCTTCACACAGTCATCGCTCAACGCGAGCAACCTCAAGTAATGCACGGTTCAGTTATAATTTAATCAGGGTTAGCGGAGTGATTATTCGACGTGTGAACATGTCGCTGTCTGGGAGAATTCTCAGAGCTGCGGATTTAAGCGTGAATTGTGAACGCGCGGGACGTTGCTTCCCTCTCCCCCTCCCCGTTGAACAGTGAGCGTCTCTCTGACTGATTACCAGAGGCGCAGACACCCGTGTGTTACTGTGGGCACACCTGCCTGTGTGGGTGTCCATCTGCCGCGGAGCGCGTGGGATTGGCGACTGCGTTGCAACATCGACAATGCGCACAGGATACACGGAAGACACTGGGACGTGGGGGGGGGGGATAGCGCGGGTGGGTTAGCGCAACCGCGCTTTGAAACCGGCGACACGAGTTCGATTCCTAGGCGCGGCTAACATCATTGGCGAGTGATCTCTGAACTGTTAACTACCTCACCTGGTATGCAGGAAGTCGTCGGTTCGATCAAGACCCGGACGCATGTATAATTGGAGTTTGCGTGTCTCTCTCTCCCCGTGGTCGTGTGGATTTTTATCCGGGTCCTCCGGATTTTCCCTCCACATCCAGCAACATGCGTTTATAGTATTTGGCTGCTATCAATTGCCACACGATAAGCCGCTTCGTTATTTGTGGCCACGTCGCTTCTGAAAAAAACAAGCCAGACGGCTCAGTTGGGGCCTTACCTGGTAAAATACAAATTGATTCGAAAATAAATTAAATTAATTTCCAACCGGCAATGAAGTACGGTCAAACGGCCTCTCGCGATCGGCAGGGTGTGGCGGAGGCATTTAATCCGGCAGTGGATTGACAAAGGGGCTGGCAGGTGGAGCGCTGTCGCCGTGGCGAGCGCATTGCACTCCGAACACCGGCCACGGCCGAGTTACATCACCAACGACGCCTCGCATCGGCGGCGAGCGGCATCCAACCCGGCCCTGGGCTCGCCCCATTCCCCAAACCTTCACTGGACCACCTTAAGGGGGAGGGAGGGGGGTCAAGTACGGTCACAAATCTCTCCAGCATCGGGCATCGGGCAGCAGAGACGTGAGCGCTGTAAACGATTTGGGAATCGCGCATTCAGTGACCACGTGCACGGCGGGTTTGCTGGCCGCCACCTCTCGGCCTGCCTCGGCGTTTGGCTCGTCGGGCCCTCGCGCGCAACTGGTGGAGTTGAGTCGGGGTCGACCCATGTGGCCGCGTTGTCCTCAGCGCTTTTTTTGGCCCAGTCCGTGTGAAGTTGAACGTCTCGATCCCCGCTGCAGCTGCCTTTGTCTTCTGCCGAACATCCGAGAGTGGGGGGGCGGGGGAAGACGCAGCTGGAGTTCGTCATCGCGTTTGCCTTGCGTGGTGGCGCAAATCCCAAATATTAAAATTGCTTTCGCGGATATCCCGCTGCAGTCGCGACCGCTGCCTTTATTGCATAGGCGGTGATTGCCGCGGGCCCATGGGGAGGCGAATCACGACATGCGATGTTGAGCCCCTCCTCCACTGTCGATGTATACACTCGCCGTGAGATGACGGAAGAGATACTGTCGTAGGCACGCTTGTTCAGAGATGCAGCGGTAGAAGAGAGACGCAGATGAGAAGATGTCTGTGGTGAGATGAGAGGTATGTCGACTCTAAAATTAAAACTCATTTATTTAGAACTGATTTTTGTGTTTAGTTTGTTGTCCTTCCCCCGCACCTCCGATTAGCACGGTTGGCTACGTACGGTGCGAAAGAAGTCCAACATACATACTGGACTTACAGGACAGACATGTAATGAGATGATAGAAGAGAGAGATGCAGGCAAAGACGGAGATGAGAGCGATTCATTAGCGCTATTTTTCCTCGACCTTTTAATCGTTTGTAAGAATCTGAACTCGAGCTTGGCATTCGGTGCCTCCGTGTCCGTGTGGATTCCCCGTGGAATCCCCCCGCCCGCCCGCCCGCCCCACCTTGAACTCCACGGGGCTCCACGCCTCTTTCCACGCGCGCTTTCGTGTGACGCCCAGCCCATAGCCACCATCACCACCAGCCACCACCACCAACAGCAGCCACCACCACCACCACTACTACCACCACCAGCACCACCAGCAGCAGCGCATTGCCACGGCGCCATCTCACGAGGGGGCCACAGTGATCCTCTCGGCCCATGAAATGAATGGCCCGCCGGTGATTGATCGCGAGATGAAATGTCGCGATGGCCAGCGCTGTCGGCGGTCTGCGCGTCACCGCCGCCGCCGCCGCCTTGGTTGAGTTTGTCGATGGCTGGAGCGACGCGCGAGGATCGAGGCTTTCTGCTCGCGAATGAACTGATGGATCCCCCCCACCCACACCCCTCCGCCGGGTCTAATGCGACCTGTCCGGCAAGATGACATGAGTGTGTGTGCGCACGGAGAGCGGTGGCGCATCGGTTAGCGAGCTGCGCTACGAACCCGACGACCCGAGTTCGATTCGCGCTCACGGCATACACCGGTGACGATTATTTGAACCGGTCATGGGCCTCCCCTAGGTCGACTCAGCCTCAAATAAGTACCTGGTGCGGTGTGTAAACATCGGCACTGGCGAGACAAAGGCGGCCGAGCGTGGTGCTGGCCACCCATCTCTTCGCGCGCGTGTCGACCACCATTGGTGCAACTCGCTAACAGCAATTGCCCCCAACATCCCGTGCAGTCTATAGGGGGGGCCTTTGTCTTTTGTGTGCGCGCGCGTGTGCGTTCATCTACGTAAATTATCGGAATCATTCTCAACTCGACAGGCAGTGGCGGCAGCGGTGCAACGCAGAGTGGATGGCAGGCGGCTCGGTGCGGGAGGCAGGGAGGGAGGCAGGGAGGGAATTGTATCAAAGTGCTGATTTTCTCTTGGGTGTAATTGCTTGTTCGGAGAGAGAAGCTCAAGCGGCGCTGGGGCCGTCTTTACAATTGCGGTCGCTTTCTCTCTCTCTCTCGGCGTTGGCGTGGAGATGCCTCTGCTGCCACGTCCCATGATTCATCACCGCCAGCAGCAGCAGCAGCAGCGGCAGTGGTGGCGGCTTCAGCCGTCTCTCCTCCTCCTCCTCGCCCAGAGGTTCCATTGCCGCGGTTGCTCTGCACGGCTCCCGCGTGCGCACTCAGCTCGTGGACGCGTCGAGTCCGCAGCGATGAGAGATGTTTGTTTGCTCCGCGTGCTGCGAGAGCTTCTTTCGGGGGAACCGACACGCGGCTCTCTTTCTCCCACGGGGTCGAGCCGTGACGGAGACAATCGTGGTGCCGCACGAGACGACACGCGGCACGAACGAACCCAGCACGGGTTCCCCGTCGTCACGAGGGGCGCTCGGCTGCTCGGGTATTCTTGCACCGTGAGCTTCTGCTCCGTACCTCGTCTGTAGTCGGGTCCGCTGTCCTTACACAGAGGTCCGTAGACTTACATCGAGACCCATATCGTTACATCGTCTTCGAACACAGACGTCCCTCACCATTGCTTAGGGGTCAGCTGTTCAGATTTCCTTTCCCCCATGAACTTCTACGCTGTACCTCTTCTCTCGTCGCGTAAAATACGTAGAACTTCTTTCGCACCGTACATAGCCAACCGTGCTAATCGGAGGTGCGGGGGAAGGAAGAAAAAACTAAAACAGCGTCCTCGTGTCGCACCGCACCAAACACTCCCATCCCCTAATTCTAGATTAGAAGTTTTCGTGACTGCAAGGGTCCATACTCTTTGGTTTTTGCGGTAAAAAAATAAAATAAAAATAAATTAAATCACGACGTTTCGGAGGCAACACAAGCTTCCGTCTTCAAGTGGCACCGTCACAGCAAAATTACTGTATTTTGCTGTGACGGATTTAATTCATTTTTATTTTATTTTTTACCTACGTGACTTTACCGAAAAAACCAAAGAGTTTTCTCCCCCGCCCCCCTAACGAGCTCACTCCACCTCTATCCGTCATGCACCGGTGGCATCTCCACCCAGCCATTCTCACGACATCTTCTCCGTCTCTTCTCAGCACGTGCTCGAAACTATCTCCGTCTCGCATTCCCGGACCTTTCTCGCGTCTCTGATTGATCTGTTCCATGAGGGCTCAGCAGCAGCCCGAACGGGGTCACCCCTCACGTGACACCCAATGGCGGTGCCGGGCACGATGGGGTGAGTTCCAGTTTGCTCGTTTTACTGTGCACGGTGATCATCGCAATCAGAATCTTTATTTCGACTGGAGCAGTGGCGTGCTAACGACATTGTCAGCTCAGGGGCCGTCCATAAATGACGTCACGCGATTTTGGACGATTTTTGACCCCCCCCTCCCTCGTCACACGGCGTGACAAAAAGTCAGATTCCCCCTCAAATATGACGTCACAAAGCTCCCCCCCCCAAATAAAACATGCTTCAAATCGCTTTAAACTATTGTCATTGTAGTGCGTATTTAATATGGCGCTGCACTCTGACGTTGTCGGAGAATTTTTTTTTAAAGTAAATTTAATTAAGTAGAACGTGTTGTCTATATTTATTTAAAGTTACGCATTTTGATGTGATGTCACATTTCTCAAACAGCCCCCTCCCTCGTCACACATCGTCACAAATGTTTGACCCCCCCCCCCTAGGTGCGTGACGTCATTTATGGACGGCCCCTCAGGGGGTGCGCCAATTGGTCAGTTGATGCCCCAATAT